GGCTCTCCTTATCCCCAGTTTTCTCTTTTTAAATGGCTACAATGATCTCAGCAAAAGAATATACTTAAACATATTAGTAGCATCTTAAATGTTGCCATTTTTTTTATCTTGTCAGTGAAATAGCGCTAATTAAAACAAATGATCTCTTTCCATTCATAGCTTAATTCCAATAGCATATCTGATAGCTTCTTTAAAAATGTTAACTTTTATTGGTCTTGTCTTATTTCAAAATTAGTTCATGTTTAGAGTACAGGATTTAGAACATCTAGTGCAGGGCAAGTCCACGAGTGTGGAGCTGCCCATGGTGTCTGCAGAGTCCGGTTCAGTGCCAACACAAAGGATGCAGAGCCAGTGTTGCACGCAGGGAACTACCCCATCCAGGAAACCACCCATGATTTCAATACCAAGAGATAATTACTTCTACTTTTTTTTTTTTTTGCGGTATGCGGGCCTCTCACTGTTGTGGCCTCTCACTGTTGTGGCCTCTCCCGTTGCGGAGCACAGGCTCCAGATGCGCAGGCTCAGCGGCCATGGCTCACGGGCCCAGCTGCTCCGCGGCATGTGGGATCTTCCCGGACCGGGGCACGAACCCGTGTCTCCTGCATAGGCAGGCGGACTCTCAACCACTGCGCCACCAGGGAAGCCCAGAACTTCTACCTTTTTTAAGACATCACTTTTCTTTTTTTCTGTCACAATACTGTATGTAGTTATCACCAAAGCTGCTTATGGTTTATTTCAATCATATCTATTTTCTCTCTCTCTCTTCCTCTTCTCTCTCTCTCTCTTCCTCTTCTCTCTCTCTCTCACAGTGTAGGATTGGAGTGCAGGACGGGATTCTGCGTAGCATGTAGACATTGCCACACACAGCAAGATTGAATGGTGCTGACCGATGGGTCTCTCCTGATACCTACTAGTAATCAAGCACTGCCACTTGAGCACTGCCAATGTTCTTTTCCTGGCCAAAGCCTCACAGTTTTAGTTTTGTAAATACAGAAATCAGTTAGATCAAAATTAATGAGATTTTGCTGCATTTACAAGCAATACCAGTAGTAACAGCTGAATCAATCACAGAGCCTGTGTCAGCCATCAAGATGAACAAAATAAACAAGGTGTCTTATCTCTCCAATTAGAATCTCTGAGGTGAAAGCTCATCAATTAGAACAGGTACATGGTATCTAGCTCTAGACATACTGCATTTTCACCTCTCTCTCTTTCCTCTTTGAGGCCTGGCCTTGCTGTTTCCTCCTCCTGTAAACCCTCAGGTTTTCCTTCCCACAGGAGAGTCAGGAAATATTCACCAACCACTGTCCTGCTCCAGCTCTCCAGCATTCAAAATCAAACACAAGAGTATTCAAACTTGGCAAACCAAAAACAAAATAAAACCAGTATTATATTTATATACAGTTATATAAAAATATAAATAACTAATTAATGTCTTCATCACTGATATTGGCATTTTCCTTTAATAAATTAACATCAGTACTTCATTGATCTACTGGGTTCGTTTGTCATAGTGTAAAATTACTATGTAAACAAGTTTTTGTTTGATGGCATTTGCTATGAGTTGCTATGGGTGGGTGGGCAAGCTTGCCTGTGATTTAGTTAGGAGGGTCATTTTGCTCTTCACTAAGCTATATCTTCCGCATCTACAAGTAGTAATAGTGATATTCTGGCCTCCAATCTGCTGGTCTTTCTCAATTTTCTCATACTCCAGGTAGGAAAGAGAAGGAGCTATTTATTGGTCTCACTCAGAGACACCAGTAATATGTTTATTATTTGTCATTCCATAAAATGTATTCCCTGCAGAACCAGGTAATGTACTGTGACTGTATTTCCTCTTTTATACAACTTTCCATTTTTCCCGGAGGTAAGAATTTCTGTCTTCATTTTCTCTTACTTATGCATATGCTTTTTACTCTTTCTTTATGCAAGGTAAAATCTCTAGATTCCTCTTCCATAAGATAAATTTCATCCAGCAAATTTTTATTCCTCTTATTTTCCTAGAGTCTTACTTTTGGGGGCCTGAGAGTCTCCTCTTCTAATTTGGACTGGTTACTCTTTAGGCCTATTGCACATTTGTCGTTCTGGAAGCTTCTTTTGGGTCTGTCCAATATGAATTCACTGTTTCTTATTTTTTCCCCAAAACAAACTTTTTATTGAAGTGTAGTTGATTTACAATGTTGTGTTAGTTTCAGGTGTATAGCAAAGTGATTCAGTTATACATATACATATATCTATTCTTTTTCAGATTCTTTTTCCCATACAGGTTATTACAAGATATTGAGTATAGTTCCCTGTGCTACACAGTAGGACCTTGTTGGTTATCTATTTTATGTATAGTAGTATGTATGTGTTACTCCCAAATTCCTAAATTATCCCTCCCTGCCTTTTCCTTTTGGTAACCATAAGTTTGTTTTTTATGTCTATGAGTTTATTTCTGTTTTGTATATAAGTTCATTTGTATCATTTTTTTAGATTCCACATATAAGTGATATCACATGATATTTGTCTTTGACTTACTTCACTTAGTATGATAATCTCTAGATCCATCCACATTGCTGCAAATGGCATTATTTCATTCTTTTTATGACTAATATTCCATTGTATATCTGTACCACATCTTTACCCATTCATCTGTCAATGGACATTTAGGTTGCTTCCGTGTCTTTGCTATTGTAAACAGTGCTGCTATGAGCATTGGGGTGCATGTATTTTTTTTGAATTATGGTTTTCTCCGGATATATGCTGGTCATAGGGTAGTTTTAATTTTTTAAGGAAGCTCCGTACTGTTTTCCATAGTGGCTGCACCAATGTACATTCCCACCAACAGTGTAAGAGGGTTCCCTTTTCTCCAAACTCTCTTCAGCATTTGTTATTTGTAGATGTTTTGATGATGGCCATTCTGACCATTGTGAGGTGATACCTCACTGTAGTTTTCATTTACGTTTCTCTATTAATTCGTGATGCTGAGCATCTTTTCATGTGCCTGTTGGCCATCTGTATGTCTTCTTTGCAGAAATTTATGTTTAGGTCTTCTGCCCATTTTTTGATTGGGTTGTATGGTTTTTGGATATTGAGCTGCATGCGCTGTTTGTATATTTTAGATATGAACCCCTTGTCAGTTGCATCATTTGCAAATATTTTCTCCCATTCTATAGGTTGTCTTTTCATTTTGTTTATGGTTTCCTTTGATGTGCAAAAGCTTTTAAGTTTAATTATCTCCCATTTGTTTATTTTTGCTTTTATTTCCATTACTCTAGGAGATGAATCCAAAAAAATATTGCTGCGATTTATGTCAAAGAGTATTCTGCCTATGTTTTCCTCTAGGGGTTTTAACAGTATCTGGTCTCCCATTTAGGTCTTTAATCCATTTTGTTTATTTTTGTATATGGTATTAGAGAATGTTCTAAGTTCATTCTTTTACTTGTAGCTGTTCAGTTTTCCCAGCAACAGTCATTGAAGAGACTGTCTTTTCTCCACTGTATATTCTTGCCTCCTTTGTCATAGATTAGGTGACCATAGGTGCGTGGGTTTATTTCTGGGCTTTCTCTCCTGTTCCATTGATCTATATTTCTGGTTTTGTGCCAATACCATACTGTTTTGTTTACTGTAGCTTTGTAGTATAGTCTGAAGTTGGGGAGCATGATTCCTCCAGCTCTGTTTTTCTTTCTCAAGATTGTTTTAGCTATTTGGGGACTTTTTTGTTCCCATACAAATTTTGAAATTCTTTGTTCTAGTTCTGTAAAAATGCCTTTGATATTTTGATATGGATTCACTGTTTCTTGAATCTCATTTCTCCCTCATTCTTGGTGTACCTTTTACTTTGGTGGAGTTCATTCTTTAAAATTTTTCTGAAAATAATACCTAGGAGATAAACTTTTCAGACTTAAAATATTGAAAAATTATACATTGCACCATAGCTTTTTCAACCAAGATAGAATGAGGATAGAATTTTACACGATAAATTATTTTTTAACCATTTTGAAAGTATTCTTCTAGTCTGTTTTATCTTTCACTGTTCTTGTTGAGAAATCCAAAACCATTCAGACTCCTCACCCTCTAAGGTTACCTCTTTTTTCACCTGAAATTGCAATAGATGTTGCTGCCTATCCAACATCCATTCACCCAAAATTTGTTCAGGTATTTACCCCATCCCCAGTTTCATAAGAGTATCCTGGTTAGTTTAAGACAATCAGCAAATGGTATTCTCTATCTGCCAATATAGGCCCAGAAATGGGCATGTGACATTAATAACCTCAGCAAACTGAAGGAAAGGACTTAGAGTATATTGGTAGAGAGGGTTCTCACTCTCCTTCTGAATGTGAACTATAAAATTTGTAGCCTTCATTGCTACTGTCAACTATCTTGTGAACATTAAGGAAACCAAATTTAGGGAGATCTGAAGGAAGAAGGAGGAGGCAGATGGAAATGGGGTCCTTCATGACTTCAATCAAACTTTTGATACTATTACTAGAACCCACTCTACTTCTATACAATCCTCAATCTTTTATTTAGTAAGATAGTTAGTTTGCTTATTATTTAAGCAGGTTTGAGTGAGAATTTTTCTCCTCTGGTTCAAAGCATACTGACTGCTAGAGGAAGCTTTTACGGTTTTCCCTTTTTCCTTAGTACCCTGAAATTTCTTGATGATGTCTCCTAGTTTCAGGCATTTTCCTTCCTTTTGCTTGACATTAATTGCCCCTTTCACTCTAGGAGCTCATATCCTTCAGTTATCAGAAATATGTTATTTTATCATTGTTAATTGCCTTCCTTTTTTTCCTCTGTTTTCTCATTCTGGACTGTCAACATAAAAGGGGCTATAGAGTAAGTCAGAAGAACCTTCTGTAATAAGAATTCTTAAATTACTCATTGAAGATTCATGGATAAACTGCAGATAGATTTTTATCCCCTTGAAATTGTATGCAAAATACTGTATTTATGTATTCTCTATTTTTCCTGAAAGATAATCTAAAGCTACTTTTTATTTTTATTGTTCCCAGAAAATCTAGTCCTTGAGTGTGACAGGACCATTAGCTTGCAAGAAAATGCAATTGTGAACTGCTGACTGGTTAAAGATGAAGAGGAGGGAACAAAAGATATGGAGAAGGTAATAGTTCCTGGTATAACTCCTGACACTATATGACATGAATGGCTGTTGGATTTGCTTTGTTCAATAAAGAAAAAGGAGGTTAAAAGGTTAACTAGCTATCTGACTGATTTGAAAGACCAAAGAAAAATATCTGATCTGTTATTCTAGTGAATGGACAGCTTTGTGGCTATCAGTTGAATGTTATTCACTAAATGAATGAGATTTGAGATTTTACTTTAAAGAAAGAAATGAAAGAATCCTCAATAATGGAATTAAATTCACTTTGTGTGCCAAAGTCTCATCTAAGGTTTCATTATACTGTGAGATGTGTCTTCTGATAAGTAATATTCTATGTTTGGCTATGTATTTACTTGAGATTTTAATGGAAAAAAAATGAAAATGAAACTTTTAATAGAAAATCCTTGCCATTAGTTTCCAAAATAGCTTCTTAAATTGCTCAGTTTCAAGAATATTTTTGGCAAAGCAATATATTATAGTAAGTACAATAATAGTTCTAAAAATCCTTAAAATCTTTCACTTTTTTACCATTTAAAATTGCTATTAAGTTAATGTTGGCATCATTTCAAATAAGCCATCTTTAAATAGCTTGCTTTATATATTTTTTCTTATAAATTTGTTTCATCAAAATGCCATGCTAATGGGCCTGCAGCTGTTTTCATATTGGAACAGCTCAAACAAGAACTCTCTAGTCATTCCCAGAACCACAGAATTATAATTTTTGTAGGAAGAGGTAACTTGCTCCATCAATTATACTCCTCCTGTATCTTCAGTCTCTCCCTACTATCCTGGTACTCTTTCCTCAGCTTGGAAACATATTAGAAGAATTGAAGAAAATCCTTCTACATTCCACTTCCTCCTCCAGGCACTGCATATTCCCTTATTTGACTCCTAGTCAAGTTTTTGAAAACTATTCTTTTGAATGTCAATCATAAATAAGTGGGGAGAGAAAGATGGTGGAAGGCAGAGGATTGCAACCTGGGTTGATGCTTTAAGACCTGAAAGCAGGAACAGGTGAGAAGGTGGAATAACTAGATTAAGCATTAATATTTGTTAAGAGAATGAGGCTCTCAGGTTATATAGACCTGTCTTCAAATTCCTACTTTGTCACTTGACAGTCTGTGACACTGGAGAAGTGATTTAAGCTTTATAAACCTCCATTTCCTTATGTGAAAATGAGGTAATAATAGTTCCTACGACACAGTGTTAGAAGCAGGATTCAGTATGATAATGAGCTTAATAAATATTAGTTGCAATTACTACTATTATCAGAGACTGATAGTATTCACATGAAGCTAAGTAAAACCTGAAGCACAACATTCCAGGGCAAAACAGGTGTTGAGAGACAGTTAATTCAAACAAATGAGGAAAAGAAGCAGATAGGAAGCAGTGGGGCTGCAACTAGAGACTGAATTCGGTTGACAGAGAGAAGGAAGAATCTAAAGATTCTCTATACCTGGGATGTAGAGACAGGATAAAGGAGTACATGTAAAACAGCTGCACACAGCACCATCATCTGCAGTCTCCTCCTGCAATGGGATCACTTCAGGGATTAACTAATATTTGCTGGTAAAATTTTCTTTTCTGTTTGAGAGTATTCTGAATGTGAAAGATGGATTCCCATGACTCCTCCTTCAGGCTATACACTTAATGCACTAAGTGATGAAATGGCCCTGGTGTTCTCCTGGGTCAAACATCACTTATATGATGTTCTCCGGTTTCCAATTCTAATTACCAGGAAAGTTAGGGTGTAGGATGCAGCATATAGGTCACAAGAAGTAGCAATAATGGTCATGAAGAACAGCAACAGTAAAAGGAGGAATGGAGAGAAATTATTGTTAGGCACTGGATGGAGAATAGCAAGTTGTTATTCATTGTATAGTAAATAGGTTTCTCAGTGTTTTTTTTTTTTCATTAGAAGGTATGGAGCTAAGTAATCTTTGCTGTAATCTATTTGCCTACACATTTCTGTGTGATGAATGCAGGGTCTGGAGGGTTTAAACAGCATTACAAAAACACAGGTGAATTATATCTTGTCCCTTGATATATTCAATATTGTAAAATTTTGAATTAGTTTTTTTGTGGTTATTGTTTCACAATGTGTGTGTGTGTGTGTGTTAAGTTATGCTCCAGGGTATTGTTGAAAACAACGAAGCAACCTTAGCCTGTAATTAGTAAAGTTTAATAGCTAAGTGTGTTTAAGGAAAGACTGTATGAGGGCCCTACCCATACTGCTGTCATTACAGGGTTACTGTGGGCATAATCAAAGCTGTGACACTCAGAGAAGCAATAGTAGAGGCTTAACACTGTGTGTGTGGGAGTGAGGAAAATAGATCTCTCTAAAATAACGCATTCCATGACTACACAAACAAATAACAATAGTATTTCCCAGAGTGGGGGACCATACCTACAATTACGACATTATCTAAAATGTCCAGTTTCCAACAAAATTTACAAGGCATGCAAAGAAATAGTAAAGTATGACTCAGACACTGGGGGAAAAGGAGGCAACAAAAACTGTCTGTGAGAGTTACTAGATGTCAGATTAAACAGAAAAATGTCAATGCAGCCATTATACATATGCTCACTGAACTAAAAATAAACATGATTAAAGGAGTGAAGGAAGAAGGTATGATGAGATGGCAAATCAAATAGAGACTATCAATAAAGGGATAGAAATTTAAAAATAGAACCAATGGAAATTTTGGAGTTGAAAAGTATTACAATAATTGAAATAAAAATCCACTAGAGGGTCTCACCAGTAGATTTGAACTGGCAGAAGAGAGAATTATTAGACATGAATATAGATCAATAGAGATTATGGAAGCCAAAATATAGGGAGAAAAAATGGAGGAAGAGAAATGAACAAGCACTAAGAGAAGTGTCAGACATCATTAAACATACCAGCACACACATAATGGGATTACCAAAAGAAGATGAAAGAGAGCAAGAAGAGATACTACTGAAAAGAACTGATGGCTGAACATGTCCCAGATTTACTGAAAAACAGTAATCTACACATTTAGGAAGCTTAACAACTTCTAAGTAGTATAAACACAAACAGACACATCATAGTAAAAGTGCTGAAAGTCAAAGACAAGGAAAATATCTTGAAAGAATCAGGAGATAAATGACATGTCACTTACAAGGGAACCCCAATAAGATTAACAGCTGAATTCTAAGCAGAAACAACATAGGCCAACAGGCAGTGGGATAAGTGCTCAAAGAAAAAACTCTGCCAACCAAGAATCCTATAACCAACAAAGTTACTAATCACAAATAAAAACAAAATAAAGGAAAAAAATGTTGAATATGTTGCTAGCAGACTTGCCTTACAAGTAATTATAAAGAAAATTCTTTAGTTTGAAAACAAATGATCCCAGATGACAATTGAAATCCATAGGAACAAACAAAGTGCACTGGTAAATATAACCATGTAATTATAAAAGACAATGTAAATGCATATTTTTCTCCTCTCTTATCTTAATTGATTTTAAAGCAATTGTATAAAATAATATGCATATAGCATATTGTTGGGCCTATTACATATAGAAATGCAATACATGTGTAATATGTTTACCAAAAACACTACAAAGAAGTGGATGGGAATAAAGCTGTAATGGGCTAAGGAAATGATGACAGATGGTAAAGTAATAAGTATAGCAATGTTATGTTGCTGAGCAATTGGAGCCCTCATACACTGTAGGTGGGAATGTAAAATGGTGCAAAAACTGAAAAATGGTCTAGCAACTCCTGAAATGATTAAATGTAGAGTTACCGTATAACCCAGGAATTCTACTCCTAGGTATAGACCCAAGAGGAATGAAAACATGTCCATGCAAAAACTTATACACAAATGTTTATGACAGCATTATTTATAATGACCAAATTTAGAAACAACCCAAATGCCTATCAACAGACAAATGGATAACCAAAAACTGGTATATCCGTACAATGGAATATTATTTGGCCATAAAAAGGACTGCAGTAATGATATATGCTACAACTTTGATGAACCCTGAAACATAATGTTAAGTGAAAGAAGCCAGTCACAAAAGACCACATATTATATGATTAAATTCATATGAAAATCCACAATAGGAATATATATAGAGATAGAAAGTGTACTAGTGGTTGATTAGAACTAGGGAGTGATACACAGGGGTTTTTCAAAATGATTCCTGTTATGTCTATTGATAATAAAGCTACATCAACTAGAAAGGTAAAGTACTTCCTTAAAATCAATTAGATAGATTCTAAAGTTTTTATCCTCGTCCCCATTAACTATTTAGAAGGCCCTTAAAATCTAAATCACTGCCTATGATGATTAATTTTATGTGTCAATTTGACTGGGCTATTGTGCCCATATAGTTGGTTAACCATAATTCTGGATGTTTCTGGGAAGTGTTTTTTAGATGAGATTAACATTTACATCAGCAGACTCTTGCAGCTCTTCCCTGTGTCTGTGTCTCTCTATACACACACACACACACACACATACATATATGTGCACATATGTATGTGTATACACACACACATATACATCCACACACATAGCCTGTTGTTTCTCTTTCTCTGGAGAACCCTGACTAATATGCTGCCCCAGAATCAGAAATTAGCAGACCTGGGAACTGGTTGCCCACTTACCACGATTAATTTCTCATTTTGCTCTCCAAATCTTCCTCACTGATAAATAATCTTTGGATCTGGTTTCTTTAGAGGATATTAGTATATGTCCATGTTGTTACCAAATCACTGCTCTCACCAACTTTCCTCATTCCAAGTTTTGCCTCATTCCTTAAGGCTGGAATTTTGTTTGGTCTCTGCTGTTCCCCTGTTGTGATTTCAAGACTGAGCCTTAGACTGTGCCCCCAGCCCAGTACTCAGGGACTTTTCACTATGGTTTGAAATCTCAGATGTCAAAACTGCCAAACAATTACAAATTCCAGGGCCAACTACTATCTAATTTATCTGTTTGTCAGATTATAACATGCGTCTCCTAGGGCTGGTTGAATTTTTGGAGAGTTCATTTACTGCTAGCTCAGTTTTCCAGGTTAGAACTTAGCTCGTACTCTGTAAGTCACCTCTATTCATGAGCAATCTGAACGTCCAACTTTCTGAATAAATTACTGATACCTGTATCAACGGAGCAGTCACTTCTAGA